CAATTGATGCAGAGAAAGCATTTGATAGAGTGGACTGGGGCTTTATGATGGACAACTAAAAAGTGCTGGGGATAGGCGATAGAATGCGAGAGTGGATAAGTAAATTATATAGGGAGCCTACTGCAATCATCACGGTCAATGGGGAGAGATCAGAACCCATTGGAATGTCCAATGGTACAAGACAAGGCTGCCCACTATCCCCCCCCTGCTATATGTATTGTCACTCGAACCTTTGTTGTCAACAATAAGAAATAGCGGATCGGTAAAGGGAATTCAGATAGAATCTATAGAACACAGAGTAGCGGCCTTTGCGGACGATTTATTGTTCTATGTGGGGAACCCCCGAATAACTCTCCCAAACATAATGAAGATTCTGAAGGAGTACGGTGAACTATCAAATTTAAAAATTAATCCAACGAAAACAGAGATCCTGAATATTAATATATCAAAGAACGAAAAAGAAAAAACTACAAAAAGAATTCCCCTTTATATGGAGAGAAAAAGAGATAAAATACCTAGGAATAAAACTCACTGCCTCATCTAAGCATCTGTATAGATTAAACTATATCTCTTTGATAAATGAGATCAGGGAAGATTTAAAAAGACTGGAAGGAGGAAATCCATCCTGGATAGGACGTATAAACTTAGTCAAAATGGTAATTATGCCTAAAATACTGTATAGATTTCAAATGGTACCAATTAAAATCCCAGAAGCCTTCTTTAAGATAATGAAAAAAATGTTAATAAGATACATATGGAAGAATAAAAAACCTAGAATAGCATATGAAACATTGAGCAGGACTAAAGAGAAAGGGGATTGGGTCTACCAGATGTCAAGAGATACTATAAAGCAGTTGTTTTAGCAAGAATATATGACTGGACATTTAACCATAAGGGGAAAAGTTGGGTAACGATTGAAAACGATCTTAGTGGCACTAGATTGAGCCAGATGATATGGGTCCCACCACAGTTTAGGGGAATTAAAGAAAGCACAAGTATCTACACTCTAAATGTTCTTAGGATATGGGACAATGTACACAAAAACATGAAATGGGAATTTAATTCTATATTAATGCCTCTCACAAATACTGATTACTTTCCTCCGGGAAAAAATAAGATATCAGGGAGATGGTTTAGAAAGGAGGATACCCAACTGAGAGATGTTTTGGTGGAGGGGGAATTGAGACCACTTAAAGATTTAATGGAGAATAAGGGAGATATTTTTATTAGAATAGATGAGTGGAAATATCATCAATTGAAATGTTTTATTGGAAATCTACCGAAACCCTTAAGAGTAAAACAGGAGTGGAATATGTTTGAAAGGTTGTTAGAGACACGAAAGGATGGGAAGCACGGTATTTCAAAAGTGTATAGAATACTCACAGAATTAGACACAAACACAAAGTTAATCTTTATCACAAAATGGGAAAGAGATATGGGAGTTGGGTTTGATGAAGATAGACAGAAAAAGATGTTTAGATTGATACACGATAATGTGAGTATGAGAGAGGTTGAGGTTAATTATATAAGTGTGTGACACGATGGCACATTACACCCAGTGTAGAGCACAAGATGAATGGGGAGAACTCAAATAAGTGTTGGAGAGGGTGTGGAGAGATGGGCACGATGTTTCACATATGGTGGGAATGTCCGAAAATCCAGGCTTTTTGGAAGATAATAGTCAAATTGATTAAAGAAATAACTGAAATTGACATAGGGTTAGACCCAACGACGTGCCTCCTACACAATGTAGAGACATCAGTAAATAAATATAAAGACTCAGGTATTTGGTATTTCTTGAATGCGGCGAAAGGGTTGATACCCAAGTTTTGGCGGAAGGCTGAGGTACCAAAGGAGGTGGATTAATAGAGTAAACCAGATAGGAAGAATGGAAAGATCATATCATAATACAGGAAGATAAGATGAGAGTTATTTCAGGAGATGGGAAAAATGGGAAAGAGCAGGATTGAAAGAGAAATATAGGAAAATATGAACCAGGATGTTAACAAAAGAAAAGAAAAAAAAAAAAAAAAAAAAAAAAAAAGGAAAAATTTAACAAGCCTCAAAAGAGTAGAATGGGATAGAGTCTGCAGAGGGGGAGGAGGGGGGAGGAGGGGTGGAAAGGGGGGGGTGTGGGTTGGGAAAGAAAAGAGTTTTTTAGTAAGGGATAGATAGAAATGTTAGAAATGTTTATTTGTATGAGAATTGTTTCCCTTTTTGGGCTTTTGTATTAATATGAAAAAATTTAATAAATATTTAAATTAAAAAAAAAAAAAACTCTATAACACTGACATTAATTTCTGTAGTTAAAAACTTTTGTCAAATCTTCCATGCACAGGGGCGGACTGACCATTTGGAAACTTGGACACTGCCCGAGGGCCCGGGGTCAGTAGGGGGCCCCATGAGATGCCCCTGGTACCTTTTTCATAGGCTTTTTTGAATTTGGGCAAGGACACAGGGGCCCCATGATCCCCTATTGCCCGGGGGCCCCATGAGTTGTCAGTCCGCCCCTGTCCATGCATGTCAATTATTCGACAGTAAATTCTCATTGATTGCAATGTGTTGTTTACTAAGTTGAAATGCATACACATCATGGGGATTATGACTGTCCAGCAGTTTTATCCTTGTTAAAAAAAATATTTGTTGAAAATTATATAGAATTTGTGACCGAGTTTAACATAAATATGATTTTAGGTAAAAAGGCTAGCCATGGATGGACAGATGTGCCTTTGAGAACAATTGTTGAATTAGTTAGAGCCCAGCACTTCCTTACATGTCACAGTGCTATCCATCCTTCATTCCTCTAGCCTTAGAGATGCCTACCAAGACTATGACATCATAAAAGGAATATCCATGCCCCTCCTGCCTCTGGTTGCTGGATTAAATTGATTATGCTATTTTGGGGCTAGGTCAAAAAATAGCAATAGCTGCCTCACTTCCACCTCCCTAATATGGTGGCTGTCTTTAGCTACATAGTACTGTGAAGTGGATGACAAAGTAGGTCAAGGCAAAAGAACAGCTGTAGAATGCCTATGTTATAGCATTCACAACTGACCTGTCCCATGCTGTTTGAAGGATAACATTGCCAGAGTCTAGGTTCACATTAACACCTTCCTCATGGAAATGAATTTGTTTGGCTGCAAGGGAACTTATATTAAAAAAAAAAAAAAAGAAAGATCTCCTTTAGCGGTAACTAACACTTCTGACACTAGAAGTACCTCTAGGGGGACCTGTACATTTCTTCATAGTGGCTAAGCATCACATTAGGTGTTGAGATGACTCTCCCAAAAAATCCCCGTTTTATGAACTAATATAGTCCGATCTACAATAAAACCGTAAGAATGCCTAAATTGCATTTTAAAAATAAAATCCTGTGCACGCTGGTGTGTATGCAGTTTAGTAAAAGAAGAGAAATTGACCTTGAAATGTTTATTTTATTAAAATTCTCTTTCATTCAGTACACATGTGGGCTTTCAATTTCCTAGGCTTTAATAATATGCCAAGCTGTGAGTTGCACTCCTGCTTATCTTTTCCCTGACAATGAGGATCAAAGAAAAGAGATTCAAAAAACCTTCAAATAGTATTTTCAAAAGATCTGCTCCATTTGGCTGAGACCCACCCCGTGACCCTGATTTAATAAAGGAGGAGAACATGTTCACTTTCAACATGAATTTACGCTTGACTTAGTGAATGAGGTGAAACACAGTGAAAATTCACATCGCAAAGGATATGTAATAATATGCAAAGAAAATGTAAAAACAAATATTTTTTTCGTGCACATAATTGGATGTTTGAAGTCAGCACAAGTTCATCTCATTCACGAAGCTAGATTATTATTATTTCAGGTACTTATATAGCGCCGTTAATTTACGCTGCGCTTTACATATATATTTTACATCAGTCCCTAACCCTCAAGGGGCGTACAATCTAAGGTCCCTAATTTACATTCATACATACACATGACAATTTGCTTTGCCAAGAAAACATTCAGTTAGCTTAGTGAAGAAGGTGACTTGTGCTGATTTCAGACATCCAATCATGTGCAAGTAAAAATCCCTTTTTTCCTTTCAAATTATTGGGTATTCTTTTCCAAATGAATTTTCACTTAGTTTTACCTCATTTACTAAGATAAGTGAAAATTTACTTTGAAAGTAAGCATGCTCTACTTCTCTAATAATCAACTTTACAGTGTTATTTTTTTAATTAAAAAAATCATGTAAAGTCTATAAGTTACTTTCACAGCTATGACATATCATAATAAAATTATAGAAGCGTGTCTTTTGAACTTTGTGGTTATTATTACTAAGTGCTAAGATCTGTATAGCATGGCCATAATGATAGTCACACATGAGAACAACTGCTTTTTTACAAACTAGCACTGGTTGCTTTAAGCATGGAACCAGGGAAAACACATACCAAGTGTTTGAATTTAAGGATTTAGTATAACAAAAACATATTTCCTATCATTACACATATTAACCATGTTTACTTAATTTCATGAAAGTAAATTTAGTGCATATAAAAAAATGTATCTTATTATACATTATTTTTTGAAGTTGTCATTATTCTGTAAATCTATGTAGTGATTTAAACAGATTTCACTGAAACTTATGTTGTGGCCAAATACAATGTAATCTGTTTTTCAACCATAGCATGGTACTTAGGCGTGTGTGGACGAACACAGATAAGTAGCTTGATGGAAAATGCATATTAGATCCTAGTGTCTTTACTATGAATTTTGTTTTATTTAGCAAAATCAAAGTGATTTTTTTTCTGGTAGAAAATAACCATGGCCAACATGGCACATGTACAGCCAGCAATGAACAGTAATTTATGCACATATACAATAAACTTATATAATTATTAACTTTCACAAGTACAGTAAATAACATTTATCAGAGTGCAACAAACTATTTACCATAACTATATTTTTCTATTTAGTATGCTATAGCTTGCTTAAAAGAAATGACATAAATGCGTTGATAAACAGTTTAACCTACCTGTGATTTCCACTAATCCATCTCTAGTTTTCACAACCAGTTCCTCAGGAGAAAAGTGGTTGACATCTAAGCTGACCTTCCAGTGGTCGGCTGTTTGTCGGATCTCTGAAATTCCACTGCTAAGTTGCCGACTTAGTGCCCTGTTAAAATCAGGAACAGTTGCCCCTGCAGGAGAGGCTACAGCTGGAGTAGTAGGAGGAACAGCGTTCACTGACTGATTGGGAAAAAGACGGACATAGCCTGGCCAATTGGTGCTAGGCCACTGGTACCAATCTTCAGGAATTCTTGGCATACCAAAAGACTGGTCAAACAGTCGGTTGGAACCTTGGTACCAGTCTCGGAATGGATCCCAACTTGGGGTGCGAAGAAAAGTGAAGGGGATTCTACGTTCTGAAGACATGGTCTAGGTCTATGAGTCTGTTAGACAAGCTGTCTTTGCTCTGTCTAAGTTTCAGTCTGTCATTGGCATTTGGAAGGTGCAGCTGTTTTATGGAGAGCCAGGCATTTATTTTTAGCAACTGAAAAGTGTGTGCTATTACTGGAGATTACACAAGTAGTTGTGATAGAAGGTTCTCGTTCCTCAGGCATAACAATGCACTGACAAGTCATTTATGAATATTTATGTACCATCAAGCAGATAAGAAACTTTCCTATATATGTCACTTAAGTGTCTGTAACTGGAAATGACATAGACACTTTGAATGGGTATATTACAACATGCCTACAGCAATGATGTTATTGCAAAATCTGTAATAACAGTTACTACCTTAATTGCTGCTTGTTGAAAATAACAGTAAAACTTTACTATGATGTAAAAAAAAAACATTTTCAGTTTGATTGTCTTTTTTTGTGTTCTATCATATTAGTATCTAGAGAGCTACACTATACCGCCAAAAGTATTGGGACGCCTACCTTTGCACACAAATGAATTTTAAAGGCATCCCAGTCTTAGTCCGTAGGGTTCAGTATTGAGTTGGCTCACCCTTTGTGGCTAAACCAGCTTCAATTTTCTGGGAAGGCTGTCCACAAGGTTTAGGAGTGTGTCTATGTGAATGTTTGACCATTCTTCCAGAAGCGCATTTGTGAGGTCAGGCACAGATGTCAGCTGAGAAGGCCTTGCTGGAAATCTCTGATCTAATTCATCCCAAAAGTGTTCTATCTGGTTGAGGTCAGGACTCTGTGCAGGCCAGTCAATTTCCTCCACCCAAAACTTGCTCATCCATGTCTGTATGGATCTTGCTTTGTGCAATGGTGCACAGTCATGTTGGAACCGGAAGGGGCCATCCCCAAACTGTTCCCACAAAGTTGGGAGCAAGAAATAGTCCAAAATGTCTTGTTACGCTGATGCCTTAAGAGTTCCCTTCCCTAGAACTAAGGGACCAAGCCCAACCCCTGAAAAACAACCCCACATCATAATCCCCCTTCACCAAACATTACATTTGGCACAATGCAGTTAAGCAAGTACCGTTCACCTTGCAACTGCCTAACCCAGACACGTCCATCAGATTGTCAAACAGAAAAGTGTGATTCATCACTCCAGGGAGCACATCCCCACTGCTCTAGAGTCCAGTGGCGGCATGCTTTACACCACTGCATCTGCCGCTTTGCATTACACTTGGTAATGTAAGGCTTGGATGCAGCTGCTCAGCCATGGAAACCCATTCCATGAAGCTCTCTACGCACTGTTGTTGTGCTAATCTGAAGGCCACATAAAGTTTGGAGGTCTTTAGCTGTTGACTCTGCAGACAGCTGGTGACTTCTGTGCACTGTGCACTTCAGCATGTTCTGTACCCACTCTGTCATTTTACGTGGCCTCCCACTTTGTGGCTGAGTTACTGTTGTTCCCAGTTGCTTCCACTTTGTTATAATACCACTAACAGTTGATCGTGGAATATTTAGTAGCAAGGAAAGTTCACGGATGGACTTATTGCACAGGTGGCAACCTATTCCGGTAGCACTCTTGAATTCACTGAGCTCCTGAGAGTGACCCATTCATTCACAAATGTTTGTAAAAGCAGTATGCTTGCCTAGGTGCTTGATTTTTATACACCTGTGGCCATGGAGGTGATTGGAACACCTAAATCTAATGATTTGGAGGGGTGTCCCAATACCTTTGGCAATATAGTGTATGTTTTTAAAGTAAACTCAGAAAATGTAAAATTGATAGAAGTTTTTGTGTAGCAGAGACAGCAAAGCCTCTTCTGGCATAAAAACTCTCTTTACATGAGTAATTTTTAATTCTCCATATACAATGACTGGAAACCCTAAAGAAATAGCGTGGGATGACTGTCTACTAACAGCCTGGATTGGACAGCACTTCAGCAGGGCACTGACACAAAGTAAGTGAGCCATAATATACAGCATACTTGTGCATTATGGCAATACAGCACAGTAGAAATTGTTTCAACTGTTTGTAAATGCTCTACTATATAAAATTAAAAATATCTCAGATATTGTAAGCATCTCAGATTCTTAAAATGGGAGGGCTGCTAACCTGCATTAGCTGATCTTCTATACCAGACATTCAGAATATTTTTATATGTACTTGTTCTGATTTACGATGGGTGTTAGCGAGAGCCTTGGTAACTCTACGCCCCCCTAAATGACATGCTGGGGAACAGTGACTATACACAGAGCTTCCGTTTGATTTTTTCACATATATGACATTTAAAGACATTGCAACTATATAGACAGTACATATTTCTTCACAAAAATAGGTTATTTTTCTGAAACTGAACTGGGGATATTTATGAGTAATTTTGTGCAAATAGTGCCTAGAAGTAATTTCTTTTTTTAATACACATATCGTCACTTGCTTGTGTCATTGAGTGATGCACACTTGCCACATGCTCAATATAACTAAGTTACGTATTCTGCAGAGCCAATACCATCTGGTGCCACATTTTGCTTTAGGCTCTATTCAGAACAGTGGGGTTGATTTACTAAAACTGGACCATTTACAATCTGGTGCAGCTGTACATGGTAGCCAAATAGCCTCTAACCTCAGCTTGTTCAATTAAGCTTTGACAATAAAACCTGGAAACTGACTGGCTTCTTCGTAGAGTTGCAGCAGATTTTGCAAACTCAGTTTTAGTAAATAACCCCCTGTGTGTTTTGGTAACGTGGGAAAATTGCAACACAAGGTAATACATAAACCTGGCTGTTGCATGTGGCAGTGTGGCTTAATTTGAAGTATGGTGCACTGCATTCGGGTCTGCTATTAGCAACCACGGGACCCCATACAGCCAACCTGGCAGCCCCCCCTGAAAACAACACAGTTTATCATGCTTCAGTTATGATTGAACGCAGTGAGTGACCTATACCAATCACTCACTGCGTTCATTCAGGAAAGGAAGGGGTTGGTAAATGTGACATATTTACTGGACCCTTCCCCTACTCTCCATCCTGAGGGATTGTATTGTGTGCTTGCAGCTGCCAGTGGAAAAGAGGAGGGAAGCCAACAGCATTGAGGGGAGGGGGGCACACAGGGGGGCCTTGGCAGCAGTGGAAAACATATGGTGCACAGGAAGGGTGATGGGTATAGAGGGGGGGCAATTACTGGAACTGATCCCTTGTATACCTCTCTCTGCAGCAGCTGAAAGCCAGCGGGAGGGAGAGGAGAAGAAACCAGCTTTCAGCTGCTGCAGAGAGGACCATACAGGGAATCGGTTCCAGTAATTGCCCACCACCATGCCAATCACTCTCCCTGCCCACATTTGATTCACCAGCCGCCTGGGCCCCCATGCTGGCCTGGGCCCCATACAGCAGGACTGGTGATACCACCTTATCCATGGCCCTGACTGCATTAAAAATTTTTATCACTCCCCCTCTTCCCCCCCCTTATATAGTCCAGACTCCTCTCTCTATGTAACGAGCCTCTGACAAATGATGTAACCCAAAGATATGCAGGCCTATGTCGTATTGTGTCTTTGCATTGTACAGGTTACCATGCTGTCCAGATATGTTCACATTTCTTTTGTTTTTGTTTTCCTGTATGCTGATTGTGGGTTTTTTTATTTTTCTTATTGCAGCGTTTACACCTAAAGTGTTGTGGTAAAAATGGGCTTTGGGCTTCAATAAAAATGTACAATATTTAAAAAAATTTTTTATCACATCTGTTAAAACCTACATCATGTTGTGTCAAAATAAACTGACTACCTTTTTGCAATGCATGTTACTGCGAAAAATACCACCCATTAAAAAGCTTGCGGAGGTACATGAGGAACAGCAATTATGTCTTTATTTCAGGTACTTATATAGCGCTGTCAATTTACACAGCACTTTACATATATATTGTACATTCACATCAGTCCCTAACCCTCAAGTGGTGCACAATCTAAAGTCCCTAACTTACATTCACATACTAGGGCCAATTTAGACAGGATCCAATTCACCTACCAGCATGTCTTTGGAGTGTGGGAGGAAACCGGAAGAAACCCATGCAGGCACAGGGAGAACATGCAAACTCCAGGCAGGTGGTGCCGTGGCTGGGATTCAAACCAACGACTCTAGTACTGCCAGGTGGAAGTGCTAACCATTTAGCCACTGTGCTGCCCATGTCTTAAAGCAGAACTTTGGGTAAGAGAAAAACATTGGTGAACAGTAATGTTGTTTAATGCAGAAGAGATATATCTTCTACAATTAAAGCTTCTTACCTGTCTGTTTGCATAATTTTCTATAGTGTATATAGTGTATTATCCCAGCTTCTGCCGAGTGCCAGCATGAATTATCTTACACATACAGGCACTGCATTTATGCTATACCGAACTGGCCAATCAAGATGGGCAAAGAAACCTAACCTGAAATAGTATTTGGGATATGTACTATAGCATAGTGTACTTAAGTAGTAAGTATGCTCCACATGCAACACATGTTAATATGAGTTTGGTGTTATATCTGCTATGTGCATAGTTTTAATGCCAGTTCACATCCCAAAGAAAGACAGAAAGTCTGAGACTGTTAAATTGCTCCTGATCCTCATATACAGTACTTATAGTACTAGCTGGATCACATTGGCATGTGTGAGTCACCTACTCTACTTAGCCATCCTTCCTTCTTACACCAAGCTCCTAGACTGTCTCATCTTAGTCACTTAATAGATCTCTGTGGCTAAACTTAAAAAGTAAAATGTCAGCTAACAGTAGTGACAAGAGACTAATGATGAATCACACTAAGCGGATCAGCAAATCAACAGACTGAGAATCTTCCACTCCACCTGGAGATTTGTATATAGATGTGTTTTAGTCTGCAGAGGCTGATTGTATTTATGAATCATAATATATGTATATAGATGTTGTTTAGTCTGCAGAGAACTATTGTATTTATGAATCACAATTGCCTGTATTCCTAAATTGCTTGAGTTAATCTTGTCAAACAGCTCTACTGGTAAAATATTCAGGA